CCTTTTGGAATGAACAAAATGAACAAATATATAACACATACAATAACAGGCCAGGAGCAGCTATCTGAAAGAAATTTCTCCCATGCTTCCTTACAGGAAGACGTGGTATATAACATAGCCACCAAATGCCTTCAAGAACTCTCTTGTGGTGGGGTGCCTGGGTGGCTCAGTCGGTAAAGCCTCCGACTCTTGGAGAGAAGAAAACTATCCTATATTTCTATATTTTGCTCATTAATGATCATTAATTATGTGGACAAGAGACAGAGAAGGAGGTGCCACCACAAATTCCCAAGAACAAAGGGCACAAGTCTGTTCTTTCTACTGTCTGTGTCTGAGGTACCATCCCTAAGACCCCCTATCAAAGAGTGAAAGGTAGCTACAGGGACTCGATTTGCTTCTGGACCTTTTCCAGAGCTTTTCTGTCCAGCTGCCCCTGATGAACGATGACAAGGCAAGCCAAGACCAAGGCAAGCCAAGACCAAGGCCACACCCACGACTGGTCCCTTCAAATTTTCAGAATTAAGTGTTGTTCCGTCAGAGCTGAGAGGCAGCTTTTGAATTCATTCCTCGTAGATGAGCTGCCTGTGATTTTCTCCACATACCTGGTCCACTCAGGGGTGGTTTTAGCCTGGGAACCAGAGCATGGCGCACATTCTCCTGCTGCCACAAACTCTCCACCGGCCAGCACGGCCAATCTGAGGTGCACACTGACAGCTTCTCCCTGCGCACAGGAGCCTCGGCTTGGCAGAGAGAGTAGGAGAAAGCGCAGAGCAGCCGCCAGAGGTGGCAGCCCTGGGGGCAGCCACGCCTCCCTCCGCGGGCAGGCACACAGCGCTCCCGGTCGCGCGGTCCGCACAGAGGGACTTGTGAGGCCGGTCTCGAGCTTTGCTTCCACTGCAGCCTCCAGGAAGTTCCAAGTCGGCGCAAAATGCTGAGCCTGCCCATCAGGGCAAAGGCATGACTGGGACATCCCCATGGCCACGGCAAGAAAAGCCAACACGCATTCGTTGGACTGGGCTGGGAACTCCCTTCTTCAGACCATGTGGCCCTCTGGAAAGGCCACGGGGCACACGGCTTAGCGCCCCGTCACTTCCGGGCTGTCCTGGCCGCCGCCATCTTGCCGGGTGGAGGATGCCCTCTACTTTTTAAAAAAATATTTTGTTTTAGAGAGAGCGAGCAAACGAGCGAGCGAGTGAGAGCCTGTGAGCAGGGGAGGGGGGTAAAGAGCAGAGGGAGAGGGACAAGCAGACTCCCCGCTGAGCGCACAGCCTGACACGGGGCTCCATCTCAGGACCCTGAGGATCACGACCGAGATGAAATCGAGTCCGATTCTTAACCGAGTCACCCAGGCACCCCTCAAATTTAAACCTTTCAGTAAGCATATGGTGGTCATACTGGTATGGCAATTCTGAGACTGCCATAATTAAAGTGAGATCAAGCAAATGAGCAGTTGTGGGGCGTGGCTTTCTAATTTTATTATTACCCTCAATTTTTTTTTTTTTTTTTTTTAAATTTGAGAGAGTGAGGTAATGAGAGAGCACAAGCAAGGGACAGCGGGAGGGAGATGCAGGCTCCTCACTGAGCAGGGAGCCCAATGTGAGGCTCAATACCAGGACCCCGGGATCATGAGCTAGCTGAAGGCAGAAGCTTAACTGACTGAGCCACCCAGATGGCCCAGCCTCCTCAGTATTCTTGAGAACTGGGATTTTGGAATATGATAAAAGGATTTCAGTAAAAACTCTGCAGTACTAAAAGGCACGAGGGGACATTTTTAGGGTGAAGGAAATGTTCTATATTGTCACTGTGGTGGTGGTTACACATTTACTAAAACTCATAATTTGTATTGTATGTAATTGTACTTGAAATAAATAAGTCTATTAAATATATCTCAAAGCTGATTCTCATACACATACTGCAGTGCTGAATTTAAATATAAAGTACTGATGTGAATTCATGACTTTTATTTTTTTAAGATTTTTATTTATTTATTTGACAGACAGAGATCACAAGTAGGCAGAGAGGCAGGCAGAGAGAGAGGAGGAAGCAGGCTCCCCGCTGAGCAGAGAGCCAGAAGCTGGGCTTGATCCCAGGAGCCCAGATCACGACCTGAGCAGAAGGCAGAGGCCCCAACCCACTGAGCCACCCAGGCGCCCCCATGACTTTTTTACTTTAGGGGAAAACACACACACACACACACACACACACATTTCCTAGTAGTAAACAATGAAGAGGCCTAGAAACAAAGAACACCTTCTAACAATAAGCATCCCCAATAGCCAATTCAGCTTCCAAATACTATTTTCCATTAAAAGGAATCAGGGCTTTTTACAGAAATTCTGAAATATGCAAACTCTGTTTCAGACATTAGATACAAAGGAACCTATTAAATATTCCTGAAGTGGGGCGCCTGGGTGGCTCAGTGGGTTAAATTAAAGCCTCTGCCTTCGGCTTGCGTCATGATCTCAGGGTCCTGGGATTGGGCCCCGCATCGGGTTCTCTGCTCGGTGGGGAGCCCGTTTCCCCCCTTCTCTCTCAGCCTACTTGTGATCTCTCTCTCTCAAATGAATAAATAAAATCTTAAAAAAAAAAATACTCCTGAAGTTGTGTCAAAAGAACTCCAGGCCAACTTGAAGAGGCTCCCACCAGCCAAAGATAGGACAATTTGAACATCAAAGAGAACAACTTTAAAGGGGACAAATCCGCATTTATCCTACCTCTCTCATACTTCTAAGCAAGCAATAGAGGTTTATAGAAATAGAAATACTCGGGGCACCTGGGTGGCTCAGTGGGTTAAGCCTCTGCCTTCGGCTCAGGTCGTAATCTCAGGGTCCTGGGATTGAGGCCCACATCAGGCTCTCTGCTCAGCAGGGAGCCTGCTTCCCCTCTCTCTCTCTGCCTGCCTCTCTGCCTACTTGTGATCTCTCTCTCTCTGTCAAATAAATAAATAAAATCTTAAAAAAAAAAAGAAATAGAAATACTCTAGCTAATGAATGAAGAAGAGAATCAGAATATTGCTGTTTTGTTACCTCTAAAGAACCGACTGACCTAAGCATGGTCAAGGGCTGCTGGCATCCCCAAAAGAGAAACCACCAGACATGACTGCCTCCTGATAGGAGAGCATAACCTAGGAAAAATCTTGTCCCCCACAATTAAACTTGAAACTGATTAAGCCTTTGGATTCTACTTCCAAATCCATAGGTAATTATATATAGAGAGGAACAGGTTAAACTATCATGGGGGTGCAAAAAGCAAAATCCAAACAGTGACAAACCCTATAATAAGCAACCCAATTTCTTAAAGAGAGAGAGACTAAAAGACCTAATGATCAACTTCAATCAATTTTATGAAATTATGAGACAATGGAAAACCAAGTAGATATCTGATATTAAAGAACTGTTTTTTAAAAACTTTTTATTATGAAAGTTCTCAAACATGCACAAAAATAAAAAGATAATACAATGAACCCTCATGTACCCATCACCCAGCTTCAACAACTCAGAAATACTATTGTTTTTTATCTATATTCCACCACTTTTTAAAAACTGGAGAATCTTAAGGTAAATCTCAGATATCATATAATTTCACTCAAAAATATTTACATATGGGGACACCTGGGTGGCTCAGTTGGTTAAGTGGCTGCCTTCGGCTTGGGTCATGAGCCCAGCGTCCTGGGATTGAGTCCCAAATCGGGCTCCTTGCTCCACAGGGAGCCTGCTTCTCCCTCTGCCTCTGCCTGCCACTCTGCCTGCCTGTACTCTCTCTCTCTGACAGATAAATACATAAAATCTTTAGAGAAAAAAATATTTACATATGTGTCTCTTTCAGATAAGGATTAAAAAAAAAAGCCATAATACCATTATCACACATCCAAGGAAATTGTCAATAATTCCTTAATATCATCTAGCGTTAATTGTTTTAGGTGTGATAGTGGTTAACAAAAGACACTTAACTAAAATACTTACAAATGAAATGAGAGCTGCAGTCTGCTTCAAACTGATAAGGAAGGATGGCTGTTGGGTGGATGAGGCAGGATGTCCACAGGTTGATGGTTACTGGTGCTAGGTGACAGCACTTGGTATTAATTACACTATTCTTCGTATGTTTGGAATTTTTGTCAGGTGAGTAATGATAGTATAATTAACACAAACATAAGCAGCACATAAAAGTTCAAAGATTTCTTTTAAATATACCTGTTAGAACCAGACACAAAATACACTGTAATAATGCCATTTAATATTTATTTTATCTTGTTTTTAAAAAAATCAATAAATGTTCTAATTTCTTAAAGTTTAGTTTTGGGTTAATCTTCAATATTTGACTGTACACATGTGGCAGATTCTAAAAAGACTCCATCTTTCCTGATAAGAAAACCCACTTCAGAAAGGGTTAAGACACTACCAAAGCCCTAAGGCATAAGCTGTGTTTGATCCAAATAAATCATGATATTCTCATTCCCTCAGGCAGTGACTGGCCTAGGGATAACCAGGTGACCCAGTTCTGACCAATGAAATGTGAACACATCTTCTGACTGGGATGACTGAGAAAGCTTTTAGTTTCCCAGTTAAAAAAGGAAGAGTTTTGGCCAGTTAACTCTTATCTCTTTGATTTTCTTCCTAACTAGAATGTGGACAAGAAGGCTAGAAATATAGCAACCACCTTGTGACTACAAAGCAGCAAGTATAAAAATAAAAGCCAACATACCCAAGATGGTAGAACAGAAAGATATCAAGAGCCTGGGTCCCTAACTATAGAGGAAACAATTATACCAGCTCTGGACAGTCTACGCCCACCCCTCTAAGACTTCTTGTTATGAGAAAAACAAATTACAATCTGCTTAATCCAATACAGTGGGATTTTTGTTTCTTGTAGCTGAACACATTTCTGATAGAATGGAATCCATTAAGAAATATAAATAATAAAAACTGAATTAAAAAAGCACCAAAAATGTTCACTTCGTAAGAATAAAGAGGCTAAAACAAATCTAACATAAAACAATCAAATTAGGAAAGGAGAATATTTATTAGACAAATATTAAAATCTATACATTCTTAGCTGATGATATATACTTGACCAAAAAATCTTTTACTTTGGATATATGCATCATTTCCTTCATTGTGGTGTCTCTACTTCTCAGATGTATTAACCCATTCTCCAAAGTAGCTTCAGTAATCAAAACTGTGAACAGGATACTCATTTCATCATATCTAAGGAAAAAAGTAGTTGAACAAAATACATGAGCACAAATATAAACTATAAAGTCACCATATTACCAGCTTCAATTACTTTAGAATCCAGCCACTTTCCAGAGTCATAAAACTCAAAAGCAGGGCTTGAGAGTTGGACCAAAACCACTTTTTAAAAGTATCTGAACCATATACAAACTAAATTTTTCAGAAAGTTTCTCTAACTTATTGTAATAAATGAAAAGTCACCTCAACACATAATTTGGGGTAAATTGTATTATATATAATATATATATATATATTTACATATATTTAGAAGAGATTTCTGTTACTCATAAAGAAACACACCACCAAAAACTCTGAACACATGGTTTTAGTGACAAGAAAGACAATCTTACTTTGAGTAAAGTTGCTCCAATGAGGACTGCACAGTTTCCAAATAACCAGGCCACACAGAAATTCCATTTTCTAGTAATTCATTAAATAACCCTTGACAGACCTAAGGAAAAAATACAAACAATTCAAATACGAATGAAGTAAAAGTAGCCAAAATGACTACCCTGTTTTGGGGAAACCACAAATCACCTTTTTCAGTCCTTAACACAGAGCATGAATTTTTTTTAGTTGTGTGATCATACTGTTTACAATTCATACACTGGATACTTACAAATAGCATACTTCCTCTAAAAATGAAGAAATTAAGCACTGCAAAGCTACTCTATGCAAATCTTCCCTAAGAGAAAATTTTATATAACAGATATAAGCATTTTTGTCATCATCATTACCCTTCAAAACTCAAACAAAACAGATTTCATCAGAGAAAAACACTAAGTGCAAAGGGCTGTGCTAACTGTGCACTCCTCTAAGAGCTGGCAGCTGAGCCCCAGGGTTACACCCCCAGTTGGGAAGAGAAGAGCCAGCCAGTAAAGGAAACAAAGGAGGAGTAGCCAGACAAGTAGGAGGAAAATGAGGAGAGTGGTGTTCCTGAAGCCAACTAAAGAAAACGTTTCCAGAGAATGGTTTGTTTCAGTGGGAATGCTGGACACAAAACCTGACCGGAAATACAGAATAATGAGTAATATTACACAATAAACTTTACTGTTTTCTTCACACGCAATGGTGAAGCAAAATGGCAAAAATTTTAAACACCCTTAACAACCCAGAGCTAAAAGTCTAGAGCAGGTTTTCTCCCCTTCTGCACTGCTGACGCTGGGATTTGTTTAGCAGCATCGTGGCCTCCCTGAGATGCCTACAGCACTCCCCTCCCCACCCCACCTCCCCACAAAAAATGTTTCCAGATGGCCCTGCAGGGGAGGGTTGCTCCAGTGGGTGGGGGAGGGTATGCCTGAGCTACAGCACTGTTTCTCAAACTTCAGAGAATATTGGAATCCCCTCCAGGGATTGTCAAACACAGGTTGCTCTGCTGCATTACCAGAGTTTCTGATCCAGCAGCTCTGGGGTGAGGACCAACAATGTGCATTTCTAACGAGTTCCCAGGGAAAGACCAATGGGTGTGAAGGGACTTGATATTTGGGGATAGTTGAGAATATAAATATTTACACAATAAACGTTTGGTTTATTATTATTATTAAAATCATTACTTTATTATATTATATATTTGGTTCATTAGAAATATTTTATATTTATTTTTATATTTATATGTAATATAAATATATATATTAATGTGTAAATATATATTTATATTATAAATATCTGCACAATAAACTATGGTTTATTATTCAAATTATTATTATATTATATTTTTATTATATTATATTTATTATTGTTATTAAAATTATTAACAGAGAAAAATAAACATCACTGTGGATTTTAAAAAGTTAGTGGGTGACAGCAAGAACATCTGCTCTTCCTACTGGAAGGCAGAAGAGAAGTAGCTCTGGCCCAAGTAAGGAAATGGGAACCCCTACACCACGAGAATACGAACAGGGGCAGCCAATCTGGAAACAATCTCACTGACAATAGTGAAATTTAGGATACGTGTCCATTTTATCCAGAAATACCACCTCCATGTATATAACCACCAAAACCCTTATATGGCCCAGAAGGTTCTGTCCTACTACTGAGGGGAGAAAAGCTAAAAATAGAATAAGATATATAACATACTCCCTTTTGGTAAATTAAAAACACCCAAGGAACAAAATACTATTATGTTCTTATACATAAATAAAACCAAAACAAGACCTGTAATTGCAATGACAAAAATTTAGGGAGTGGAGTTCTTTTTTATCCTTCAAGCAAAAACCCCACAAAACAACAACAACAAAACCCCCCAAGGACCTTCTACCTACAAGGGTCTTCAGGAGGCTGCCACAACCCTAGGGGGAAAAGTGGAAATTAAACCACCACCTTCCCTTCCCCTGAGTGCACTATCCCCACCTTCCCAGACCTCTCCACAGGAGCCTGAGGAAGAAAGTTGGGTAGATCTGGCTAGTATCCTCACTTAGGTGCTGGGTGGCTCTGAGTCACCCAGGACCCAGGCATGACTGCTGAAGGGGTTTCTGGAAAGAAACTAAAACCACCCTCTTGGCTTCCCAAGAGTGTTTAATTAGACCAGATAGATTAGAAGAACCAAAATAAGGTATCGATCTAGAACCTGTACTGATACCAATAAGTATCAAAAAAGTGTGAGGTTAAAAATGTAAGCGGGCAAGAAATAATTCACTAGACATTTGTACAAACACTTGGATTACCAAAACTCTGCGTACTCATTTGAAAAGGCAACTATGAGTAAGCATGACTTTAACAACAAAATCACTGAGCTGTATATAGCTTCTTTTATATACTATGCTTCATATAATCTACAATAAACCAGAGTATGTATCCATAGCTATTTAATTAAATTTTTTAAAAAGCAAACGAATCAAAATTTTACAAGGTAAGTTACCAATTTATTTGAAGTAATAGTTTTATTTATTTATTTAAAAATATTATTTATTTATTTGACAGAGATCACAAGTAGGCAGAGAGAGAGAGGAGGAAACAGGCTCCCTGCTGTGCAGAGAGCCCGATGTGGGGCTCGATCCCAGGACCCTGGGATCATGACCTGAGCCAAAGGCAGAGGCTTTAACCCACTGAGCCACCCAGGAGCCCCTAAGTAATGGTTTTATTTAAAATCATGATACTAAAACTCATTTGACCCACCTGTCTTAATTCCACCGTTGGGCCTCTTCCCACATCCAAAGCAACCTTAACAGGGGCTAAACAAGGGTGAAGTTTAAGTACCTAAAGCAATTTAAAGAGAGGGGGGAAAATGGATAGCACATCTTGTTTAAATCTAACACAGGCACTATCAAACATGGAGCTTTCTAAACTGTAAAAACTGCATGTGAAAACGGAAGCTAGCTGAGGTCATAAATCGTGTAATGATGTGTTCAGCTGGCTATATCCAGCTGCTCATTGATTTCTCCACTTAGATGTTCTGCAGAAGTAAGTTCACTTGATACTCTCTCATTTCCTGATGACTCCATTTTCCCTCAATCCAAACATCCCTTCCTGGTATCATTGCTTTCCCTACCCAGCCCTAGCCAAGGGACTCGTTATTCGAACTTTCTCTTGCCAAAACCTACCACTCTTCTTACTCATCCATCCACTCAACAACTGGGTGGCTTCTTGGTGCCAGAAACAGTTCTAGGTACTAGGTTCCTAACTCCTTGCTCCTCATGGTGGGGATGGGGAGATAATAAACAAGTAAATAATATGCTTGAAGGTGGTAAGTGGTTAAAAAAAAGGTTGGTGGGGGAGGAGACAGGAAATGCTGGAGGGGCGGGCTGGAGAGGTTTTTTTTGCAATTTTAAATAAGTTGGTAAAAGGTCTGAGGTTGACAGTTGAGCAAAGACTTGAGAGGTGGTTGTGGATCCTGGAGGAAGAGCATTTCAGACAAAGGGGAGAACCATGACAAAATTCTGAGCTGGAAGCATTACTGACATTTTCTAGAAACAGCAAAGGGGTCTGCGCTGTTGGAGCAGAGAGTAAGGTGGGGGCTGGAGGAGGAGGTCAAAAGGGAATGGTTTTGTAAAACACTTTAGGGGCTTTGCCTTTTCCTCTGAATCAAACAGGAACTCAGTGGAGTGTTCTAAGCAGGGGGGCAAAGTTACATGTACCTTTTAAAAGGGCCACTCAGTGCCAGTGGAGGGGATGGTGGTGGCATTGATTAGAGTGGAAGGAGGGCAAGTGGTAAAAAATGGTCAGATTCAGGATATATTTGAAGACAGAGTCAAGTGGTTTTTGCTGATGATTTGGATGTGGGGTGTAAGAAAAGAAAGGATCCCTCATTTGCTATATATCCTATAAACCCCAACCCTAGAACGATTCTATAATGTGACCTTCTTTATGGGCATATCAGGCTAAATGAACACTGCATGATAAACTACTCAGCTATGCAAAGTGGTACTACAAATTCATGGTTTCCAAACTCAACATGTTGAAACTTTTGATTCTGGGCAGCTCCCTTTCACATTCAGGGGAATATGAACACTCTAAATTCTGGCCACTTAAACCTCTATTCCTCCACATTTTAAGCTAATCATCCTGCTTTCTAATTCCCTAAGGAGATAGAGGATATGAGGAAAACTTCCTTCAAAGGCTAACCAGCCCTAGTAGTGTATTTATATCTACACCATCATTTCTCTTCTCTGTGCTTTCTCAAATAACTCCTTTTCAGGACCAATCCCTCCACTGGTGTTCTTATTCCTGTCTTGACCCTTCATGTCTCCTCTAAAATCTCGCTCCATTAGGCATTTATCTTCTTTCCTGTGGCTTCAGTCCCTCTTCTCTCTTGATTTTGAGCCCATAAACATGTCCTTGACTCAGGCCCCAAGACAGCTCCTGTGATCTAGTGAATAGCCACTTGGGGTCAGACTAGAAGCAGAGAGGTCAATACCACAGTCTTGGTAGTCTGACATATTCCTGCTTAACACTCTGATGCAAATAAATGGAAGCCACCGAGTGAAAGGCTCAGGGGCTAAGAATCAGAGATTGCTCTCTACCTGTCTGCCAGGATCAAAGAGAAATGCCTCTGGGATTACCCAATAGGAATATCTTGCTCTATTCTGTGAGAACCTGCTTATTACTCCCGTGGCCAGGTTCTAAAAAATGAAAAATGGTAAAAGAACCTGCACTGAAAGAAATTTATTATTCACAAGTTTGTGTTAAGAAACCAAGCCCACTAACGTACGAGGAAAAAACATCTTTTTAGCTTCCCAAGTTTATCTCTGAAAATCAAAAGCACCTTTCTCTGAAGATTCTTCTTCCTTGTAAAGGAGTTCTCTGTGAGCTGGAAAGAATCGTAGAGGTAAGCCAGCACACCTCGGTCCAGATTTCCAGTAACAGATAAAACATACGGAACCACATTTTTTCGTCCATCTCGGCCCTTCACAGAAAAGTAGAACAAATATAAAGACTGTTAGCAGAGCTCTCTCTTAAAACTACAGACTCACAGAATCAGAACACAAACTTACAAATTCATTCTACAAAGCCTTCACTCTGGGCCAACCTGTGCTAGGCAGTGGACCCACAAAAATGGGTCTGACATACTCCCTGCTCTCAGGGAGATTAGGGTGTAGATCAGTGAGTCTCAACTGGCTATGTATTAGAATTGCCTTGAGTTTTAAAATGTAAAGGTTTTATGCTTGGGCCCCATTCCTAGAAATTCTGAACTACCTGGATAGGAGTGGGACCTCAGCATCACTATTTTTCCAAAGGTCCCTAGGTTAATAAAGAGGATAATATTATAAGAGTTCAGCAGGGCCCTTAGAGAAAAAAACTGGTATGTTTAAGGATAGGAGTTTGGAGTATAATCTCTGGAAATATAAAGTTTTTATAATAAGCAAACCTCTTTTAAAAACCAGGTTTGGGGTATTTACTTTAAGGCTATAATTAAGAATATAAAATATACCATAATGCACAATGTAAAACAGGGATTGATAAAAACACTTATTACTGCCTTTCTTTTAAACTGATAATCACCTAAATTTTTTTCAATGTCAATCCTAAAAATTTAAAAGGTTTTGCATATAAACAGTTCTGTCTTCATTCTTTTTTTTACTGTTATCACAGTCATCTGAACATTCATGTAATTCTCTAATACTTAAAAAAAAATTTGTCAATCCTCAACTTCTATTAATTATCCGTGATTAAGCACAGTCTTCATTAACACATATGTATTGTTTTATTATTATTATTGTTATTAAAGATTTTATTTATTTGACAGAGGGAGACAGCAAGAGAGGGAAGAGGAAGAAGCAGGCTTCCCTCTGAGCATGAAACCAGACACGCGACTTGATCCCAGGACCCTGAGATCATGACCTGAGCCGAAGGCAGACGCTTAATGACTGAGCCACCCAGGTGCCCCTGTGTTGGCATTTTAAACCCATTTTAATGGCATATGGTACTGTAAAGATTAATGTGAATTTGTCCTCAAAAGGCAGTACTCTTAAAATAAGACAAAATCAGAAAAGTAGACAAACCATGAGAGACTCTTAAACTATTGGAAACAAACCGAGGGTTGCTGGAGGGGAGGTGGGTGGGGGGATGGGGTTACTGGGTGATGGGCATTAAGGAAGGCAGCGGGTGTTACATGCAACTCACGAATCACTAAATTCTACCTCTGAAACTAATAATAACTTTATGTTAATTGATTTTAAATTTTTTAAAAAGGCCGTAGGAGATCTGGTATCAGGGTTGATCTTTGCATGAGAATGGTAGGGAGTTTGGTTACATACAAGAAATGAAAAAATCAACATACTGAAGATACTGGGAGCCAGGTTTCGGTCAAAGAACAGAATTATAAATTTGGAAAGAGGTAAAACTAGAATAAACCCTGTGGCATTAGACTAGAACTTGAAGAACTGGTAGGAACTCCTAGTTTTTAATAATAGGTAAATATAGACACAGAGTTAAGTGTGTAAATATATACATATAAGCAATCGCCTCCAAATATTTCCTAGCTGTGTCCACAGAAAGGGCCCAGGAGCAATGATACCCAGTTGCAAAGAGTACACCTAGAAGCAAAATCTCAGATTTCAAATACATTTTCCTCTAATAAGAATTAAGGTTCCTTGGAGAAATGGCTGACTGCACAGCCAGTCCAAGAAACAAGATGATCTCGGAATAATGAGTTGCTGCAAAAGATAGAAGTGCTCAGAGAATGACCGGGATATGTCAAAAGGACACTGGCCAAGTTTAGGACAATTTTAGCATCAAAACAAAAAAATGCTAGTAACAGAGTCCAACTCATGGAGAAAAATAGGAATCTGTAAGCCCATAAAAAGAAAGAGAGTGAAAAGCTCACCCCCACAGTATACTGTTGATAAATAAATCTAAAAGAAATAATGAAGTAATAATAAAATTAATAATAATAGGGAACCTGGGTGGCTCAGTTGGTTAAGTGACTGCCTCTGACTCAGGTCATGATCCTAGAATCCCGGGATCGAGTCCCACATCGGGCTCCCTGATTGGTGGGGAGTCTGCTTCTCCCTCTGACCCTCTCCCCTTTCATGCTCTCTCTCTCTCAAATAAATAAATCAAATCTTTAAAGAAAAAAAAATTAATAATAATAAAAAAAAGATACCACTTGGCAACCCTCATAGTAATCACTGATCTGCCCAAGAATCACCAAGGTATGCTGCAACTGGTAAGTTAAAATGTGGTCAGAAACAAGTTATTTACCTAGTCTTAAAATGTTTGTCACAAAAGACTTACCAATTACTTACTAATTAATAAGTACAAAAATCTGTCAACTTTACATTGGAGAAACCTGGTAGCACTATCTTAACCAAGAGATAAAAGTGAACATTGCCAGTAACAAATATGGTATCATGTGCCTCCTGATATGATGCCTGAGAAGAGGACAACACCATTTCTATGGTATTCCTAGCAAAAATACATAAACCATAAGAATACATGACAGAAACTCAAACTGAGGGACATTCCACAAATTAAGAGCAAAGGCCTACATTGTTCAAAAATGTCAAAGTCATAGGTTGCCTGGCTGGCTCAGTTCATAGAGCAGGTGACTCTTGATCTCCAGCTTGTGAGTTCGAGCCTCACATTCGGTGTAGAGATTACTTTTTTTTTTTTTTTTTAAAGATTTTATTTATTTATTTGACAGAGAGAAGGATCACAAGTAGGCAGAGAAGCAGGCAGAGAGAGAGAGAGGGAAGCAGGCTCCCTGCTGTGCAGAGAGCCCGATGCGGGGCTCGACACCAGGACCCTGGGATCATGACCTGAGCCGAAGGCAGAGGCTTTAACCCACTGAGCCAGCCAGGCGCCCCCGGTGTAGAGATTACTTAAAAATAAAATCTTTAAAAAAGAAAGTCAAGGTCATGAAAGACAAGATAAAATGAACTATTCATTTGAAGGAGACTAGAGTTATGACAACTATGTGAAATCCTAAACTGGATAATGGACCTATGAAAGGCATTATTAGGATAATCGGTTACATCTGAAGGATTATATGGATTGGATGGTAATAATGGATGACTGGCACATTCTTGATTTTGATGGCTGTGTTGTGGTTACAAAGGTGATTGTCCTTGCACTTCAGAAATATATACTACAGTATTAAGAGGTCATGGGGCCCTGTGTCTGCAACCTGTTCTCAAATGGCTTCAGAAATGATCAGTTAGAGAATCTGGGTAAATGATGGATAGGAGCTCAAGGTAAAACATACGTGTAATTGAGACTCATTTCCAGGACACGTGTGTAAAAGTTCACGGTCTCCTAGATTCCACAGGGTCTCTATTGGCTCCTTTCCCCATGGGAAGTTGTAATAAAGTTGGTTTCCTTTTCGTCCCTCTTCGTCCTGACAATCACTGCTGCTGAAGTTAGACGGACTCATAGCAAACTGGAGAAGAAAGTTTGTTTTATTAATTTATGAAACTAAAGATTAAAAAAGTAAAGTTGCCTGAGACTTTTATGTGGCAACTGAATGAAACCAGTCAGATCCCATATAAAAACTATGAAGTTCAGTTAAATATGAGCAAATGCATTGCTAAAAACAGTTTTTAGCCTGGAAGAACTACAGAGAAAAACTATTGTGAGTGATCTAGCCTTTTTTGGGCCAGTTAATAAGAAGGGAAGGTGACCATAAACTAAGAGGGATAGAGAAGAAAGTGTATACTCACCATTCTTATCCTTGAATAGTGTGACTATTTGTAATTATTCTACTTAACTGAGTGGTTGTTTGAGGATTTTAGAATTGGAAAAAGGCAAGACAATGGTGAGCCACAAATACAATACGTATTTCAACTCTTTCTTCTTCAGCAAGTACTAAAACTTGAAAATAGATCACAGAACCATTTTCCAATACAGAGAATTCATGGACAGAGGCAGGGAGCAAAGGTTGAAGCTTTAAGGGTATGCAAAGGTCAAACTCTACACCTGCCAGGAATGCCAGGGGAGGCGGCTGAACTCTATCTCAACTCCAAAGGCTTATCCACAAAAGCTTTTGAATGAGAAAGACATCAACAGATATCTTTATATTTTTATTTTTAACTTTTTATATGGAACAAAGAAAATCATTACAAAGAGGCTTTTATTCATACTTATTGATTTACTAGAGCTGTCTCTTACAAACATAACATAGCCCCACATCAAATAAAATTTCATTTACTTATTAATTTATTTATGATTTTATTTATTTGACAGAGACAGAGAGAGAGAGAGCAAGAGCAGAGGGAGCAGCAGGCAGAGGGAGCAGTAGGCAGAGGGAGGAGAAGCAGGCTCCCTGCTGAGCAGGGAGCCTGATGTGGGACTGGATCCCAGGACCCTGGGATCATGACCTGAGCTGAAGGCAGACACTTAACCAACTGAATCGCCCAGGTGCCCCAAAATTTCATTTACTGTACAGAAGTATTATCTCTGACACACTAAGACGCTTCACCTATTAATTATTAAATTAAGGGTACCTTTCTCCACCACAGGAGTCGATGACGTAACCAGAAATCAAGCCACTGGCCTGCGGTTCTTGCTGAAGTAAACCAAACCAGTGAAGCCTCAGTCTTCTCACCGATTCTTTGGATATCAGAAATATCAGACAGTTACTTACTCAAAGATTATATAATTTATCCTAAAATGAAAGTGACTGGTTCTTGATTAAATACAAGGCCAAGTTATCTGCCATTTTTTGGTACCTTTTAACACCATCAGGTGTCTGCTTAGTATCAGAAACAGGATGAAAACACACTCCAATGTGGGCAAGGCCAAAAGGTAGTCTCTTGTTTACCAGATCCAGGCAATTAACATAGTGCTCCAAAGCACCTGTCAGAAGATAAATTTGTCACTATGTAAATCTATTCTATAAACCCAAGTCATAAGGGTCAGCTTATAAACAAATTAATATTATAATAATTAACACAGCAGTACAAGTAGCACAGAACTATTCAGGCAGATCTTCACTGATTACAACTTAGTTTCCCCACAACTTTTTAGTTTGATTTTCAAATCTACAAGAAAGTTGATAGTACATAAATACCTGTACTCTTCAGCTAGATTCACCAACTGTCAACATTCGCCACATTTTCTCCTTGTTCACCCCAAAACATTTCAGCATGTGTCTCCTAAAATTATTCTCTGCATACCATTACACCATAAAATTAATCATAATACTGTAATTTTATATAACATATGGTCGATATTCTATTTTCTCCAATTGTCTCCCAAATGTCATTTGTTGTTCTCTTTTTCCCTAATTAAGGCTCCTGCTCTGCATTTTGATTACTTCTCTTTAATTGCTTTTTTTTTTTTTTAAAGATTTTATTTCTCACACAGATAGACAACCAGAGAGGAAACACAAGCAGGGGGAATGGGACAGGGAGAAAACAGGCTTCCCACTGAGCAGGGAGCCCAATGTGGGGTTCAATCCCAGGACCCCGGGATCATGACCTGAGCATGGTTAAGACAGACACTTAACCGCTAAGCCACTGAGGTGTCCCATCTTTAATCTCTTATTCTGGAACATTGCCCCTGATTCCTCCCTCCTTTTCTAACTTTTAATGACTCTGACTTGTGGTTTCAGTCCAGAACAGTCATACTCAAGATTTGGCTGATTGTTTCACTCACTTGGGTAAATCATTTTTAGCAGAAATAAATACTACATAGTTGATGTGTTTGGATTCTAACAGGAGAAAAATAATATCAAATTATTGCATATTAATGAAACTAAATTTGATTACCTGGTTAGGTAGTGAATATCCATTCCCCAACAGTATCCTGCTCAACAATCTCCCACCCAACATTTTAGAATCCACTGATCATCCTGCTTGAATCAATTACTATACTGGGGATTACAAAATCACAAAATGGTGATTTTTCTCTCTTTCCTTCCACATTTATTACACAGCTTCTGTGAAAAAAATAAAACTTTCTCCACCTCATTCCCCTACCAGCAGCCTCAACTACTTACTTTTTTGATTAACACAATAAATTTTTAATTTTAATGTGTTATGATCCATTACCATTAATACTTAATATTCAGTTTGTCTCAAATTTAGCCGGTGGAAGTCTCCCTCAGGCCAGCATCTGTGTCCTTTCGACGTGACCTCACCAGTCTTCAAATGTTTCTTTGCTTTCTAACACCATAAAATTTCCAACACCATAAAACTCATCTTGTGCTTTCCCTGCCCCAGTCCTGGGATAAGCCATTTCCCCAAGCACTGGTTCATTTTAGAAATAAAAATGTGGGTACTAGGTGTGTTCACTGCTATTGTCATTACTTATAGGACCTTTCAATGAAGAAAGTTAAGAATAATGTTATTTTTTTAATTAGGAGGTCATACTGATATTGCTGATTCAAATTTAACATTGCAAAGTTTATCCTTGTCTTCCTTCATATTTGTATCTCTTTTTTCTCACAGTGAAAATTAATTCATTTTCATTAACATTAATCCATCTATTTGCTTTATTTTACAACATATTTGAAACAGCTTCAGAATTATAATTCCAACATTTCTATTTGGAATAAATCTAAGTTCAAGATTCCATTGTGTTTCTTATGCACTTAGATTACATCCCACTAAATGACAGCATTGTGTTTAAGTTACTTGAGATTTCTGCTTCTGGTAATAGTAGATCAGCAAGATAGGAAAAGGTGGTCAAGAAACTTAAAAAAAAAAAAAAAAAATCTGCTTCAAGCCTGAGCTATCTATCAAGGCAGTAAGGACTTGAGGGTCCAAAGTATGGAGAGAAGGGAGGAGCAGAGAGGTGAGCCCAACATTTAGTGCTGCTTTTCTAAATCTCAATTAGCAGAGCTGAGAAGCTTCGTGACATCTTAAGGGACTGGGAAGTACAAAAACTATAGTTCCTGACTCCTCAAGGAGGGACCCTGGTAAACACCCCAGCCTTTCACTAGGGACACTCAAAGGGCTACAATTTAGCAGTAGGGATGAAACCCCTGAAGACCAGTCTCCAATAAACTTAATCCCAATGCTCCCACTCTATGAGGCGTCTGGTGGCTCAGTCGGCTGGATGAGTGTCTGCCTTTGGCTCAGGTCATGATCTCAGTGTCCTGGGATTGAGCCTCACATGGAGTTCCCTGCTCAGTGGGAAGTCTGCTTCTCCTTCTCCCTCTGCTCCTCCCCACCACTTGTGCTCTCTCTCTCTCAAATAAATAAAATCTTAAAAAAAGATAGCTCCCACTCTAGCTGCCTGCCAAAAGCAAAAAGTAAATCCTCCCAGGAAGAATAAACCACCACCCAGAAGCTCAATTTATCTCTACAATTTATATACAAATAACACAGAAGAGCAGGAGAGAAGTCCAAATAACCAAAGGCCCAGAGAAAAACAGAAGTATCTGAGTTATTGGATGCAGATTCTTTAAAATGTGACTGTTCAAGAAAGTTTATGGCAAGATGGGGGAAAAGTCTAACATATGTAATTTGTCACACGACAAAGGAAAATGGGACAATAACTATATCTGGAAATATAATGGCTGAGAACTTTTTAAAAAACTATTCATAAGTACAGCTTATGAGTTCAGTAGTTCAGACATGAAATAAAGAGAGCAAGGGCCTTGGGAATAGAAAGTAGTAGCAAACTGGGTAATTCTAAGCTAAAAACACTACTTAACTCAAGGATTCTAAATAAGTGGTTTTGTGTTTCCTAAAGGAAAGAAAATGTCTAATATATCAATGTGTATTTTGATGAATGGACATCTAAGCAAGCTAAGTTTCATTTGCCCCCCCCCCCTTTTTAAAAAGATTTTACTTATTTATTTCAAACAGAGAGAGCACGAGGGGCGGGGGTTGTCAGTGGCAGGAGAAGCAGACTCCTCACTGAGTAGGCAGCCCAACATGGTGTTTGATCCCAGGACCCTGAGCTGAAGGCAGATGTTTAACTGACTGAGCCACCCAGGTGCCATTAAATTTCATTTTCTAATAGGGAGGAAAAGATAGATTTGTTTTGAACATGGTAAAAAGCAGTGATTTAACTTGCCTCAAATAAAGACATCATGGAATAATTAAAATAATACAAATCAAAACTGTCACAAATATTCACCAGTTTCCTTTATTAAGGAAATTTTTAAAGAGCTATAAAGTGGGTACTAATTTTCAGAGAACCATGGACATTGGTTAAATTAGTGCCATTTAATTAACACAGTAAGGATAGCATTTTGCAAAGATGAGATGCTGTGACGGCAAGTCTGTACTATAAAGAACTTGAATTTTTTTTTTTTCTTCAGAATCTCTGCGATCGTGTTCTATTTGACTTTAAAGGCAAATGATGGGGGTGCCTGGCTGGTTCAGAGGAGCAGGTGACACTTGATCTCAGGGTTGGGAGTTCCAGCCCCAACCCGAGTGCAGAGATTACAAAAATAAACTTTAAAGGCAAATGGTGCCCTGTAACTTTCTGTGTATTCACTCAAGAATCAGTTATAAAGCTTAATTAGTCCTTTTTTTTTTTTTTTAGTTGACACAAACATCACTTAAAGGGCTCTTCAAACAAGAGTGTAGATAGATAGGTTTTCAGTATGAAAAATTGGGGGAAGGGATTTTTTTTTGCTCTAGAAGAATGAGCTCTTGATTAGCCTATTGTGTGTAAAAATTAAAGAGTAACTGTGGAAGTATTTACCAACAAATGATTCACATGATTTAATTTACCCCTAATTCTAGGGCTGCTCAATGGAACTGCAGGTTTGCCCGATGAAATTAAGAGCGTCACCTGGTCCTTCAAGCCAGATTCTTTAAGGAACAGTAACTATTCCAGAGACTTTTCTCCTTGGTAGAAACACTGTCAATATACCCAACTACTTCAAAAAGATGAGAACCAGATTTCCTTTTTACGTGAATAAAGGACCAGTTACAATCCGCGAAATCTAGCAAGTCTGCCATTCCACCCCATCTATTTTGAAGCATGAAACCGTGAAGCATACCGTGAAGAAGGTTCTCCCGTAGTTTCCCAGAAGTTTTTAATAAGTTTTCAAGAAATGCTACTAGCTGTTCCTTACTCAGCTCTTTGTCTTGCAAGATCTCCCGTAGAGTTTCTGCTGAAACTAACCTGAAGGTACTGTCCCCAGGCAGCGTAGGGCCAGGCTCGTGATGGAGGGCATCTACAGGGAAGACCTGCTCCCTGAACACCACCACCGAGGACCACCATTCTGCTGCCAGGTTCTTCCGCAACTCAATGCCCAAGGGGCCAAAGCCGGGGTGGCACCCGCTCAGAAGAGAATGTCGGTTAAGCTGCCGCTTGCTGCCACTGAAGAAATGCCTTCTCTGACAGATCTCTACCAGCTCCTCGGTCCCCTCACTGGACTCGGGGGCTTCGATCGGCTCGCTCCCCCGAGGCAGCTCCGCGTGCGACCTCACGGGCCCTCCGAAGGAACTACTCCCTTCCATTAACGGCTCAGGCTGCCCCCCATCCACTCGACCTCCAAAGCCAGACAACAGGCACCTGCACACTTTCTGGCAGGCCCTGACTGCTGCGCCAGAACGCATCGCCCTCGGGAGTTAAACAACAGTCTTCCGCTAACTGGTTGATGCCGGGAAACCGCCACAGTCGCCCGGGAGGCAACTGCGCAGGCGCGACGGAAGTGACCAAGCGAGCGGCCGGCCACACCCACGGAAGCGCGTCACCGTGTTCCGGCTGCAGCCGTCGCGGGCCGGACCCAGTTGTTAAGGCTAAAGCCGACCTCCTACCGTTTCTACCCTCCATTAAGTTTGGCCCCTCTAATTGTTAGGACTTTAGCACCCGTTGAAGGTCATTCCCTTCTCCTTTTCACGGTCATGCTGTACTGGGAGTCAGCTCTGCTTCTCAATTTTTTGCAAATACTTAAAAATACTTAAGCGTTCCCCAAATCATTTAAATACACCTTTTCAAATTTAAGTGTTCGCGAAAATAAATCAGCTCCCACTAAAGTCTTAGCCCTTTGTGGTGGTTTAAAGACCCAGGCCTTAGCTGTACCTCATCATAAACGCTGCCGCCATGTTGCCTACCTACAGGAATAGGGATGGGGCTGTGGCTGTGTGACAGCAAACAGGGATGGGCTTTACAGCGTTCTCAGACAGCAGTGCTTCTACCGCACGCCCCCCCCCCCCGCCCCGAATATTTTTATAAAGGAACCCAAAGATTTTAAGCAAGCCGCCCAGGTGAATGTGGAGGCACGTTAATAATCTCTAACATAAAGGCAATTTTCCCTACCACAGAACCCTTCTACATGACAATGTGATTACCTGTTTTTAAGACAGATCCAGGATTACCTAAGCAGGCACTTGTGACCTCACAAATTTTCATTCACACTCAACCCTCAGAACTCCCCAATTAGTGGAAAATGGCACACCCCAGAGGAAAAGCCCATGATTCCTACTCCTAGCTCCCCTTAAAGTGGTTAGGGTAACCCTGAAAAATTAATGCAGATACAAGCTACTAGATTCATTTACCAACAAGCAGTTTATGGAGGACATTCATCAATTTTAACTACTGTTAATTCATTAAGTGTAACATGTTGCAGGACAGGCTACACAAGCACGTGTGCAGGAGTTTGTAAAACAAAACAAAAACCAAAAAAAAAAACAAAAAAACCCTTTAAGACCATTTTGCCAGAGAACAATTTTGTTAAAAAAACTCTAAGTTCTAGTAAAAGCTGGGCTCTATTATCGTGTTTTCCAATCAGGAAATACACACCAGGGATGAGGCCTATACACAAATAAATAAAAGCGAGAATGGGGAGAAAAATCACATTTATTAGTTCAGACAACCACAGGCTGGACACAACACACATGCTAAAAAGTGGACTGTCTTAAAACTTACTTCAAAGGTAAATAGGTAAATGTTTTCCACAGCCCCACAATCATTTCAATAAATGTTTACAAATTAAAAGGCCGTTAGACATTAAACAGTAAAATATGTAATAAATACTCCAACCTACCCCAAAAGCTTCTTATAAGTTAAAAGTCATAATGAATTTGACTAACCATGCTATTGAAAACTGTTCGAGTCACTGGAGAGACTGAAATCAGTTTTCAATGTATTAGTCCTAAAAATACCACTTCCCCATCCCCTACCCCAAGCAAATTCTAGTTTTACATTTTAGAGATAAGGCATTGACACCAATTAAAGCCTCAGTTTAATAATCAGAATGTAAATGAAGCCTCATGAAGACCTCTCCTCTCCTGACAAAAAGGAACATATACCAGACTCTCTGGGAAGACATCCAGACCTATTTCTAGTCATTACTGAAATGAAGTATTAGAAAGGTTGGTGAGCCAAAGTTAAATCGGAAACAACACCCCCTCTTCCCATGACCTTTCTAGCAATAAAAAACCATGTTGACCAAATAAGATGACTTGTACAATAGTCACTGTGCTTTTGGTTATGGTGCTTCCTCTTGGTTAAACATTAACTTCGACAGGATTTTGTTCGAATATGAATAGACCCTCCAGTTTGAAGTCCCCTAGAGTTCCCTGAATTATCATTAAGACATTCATGATTCCCAGTGTAACTACAGTTAAGTGCCCCAAGAGCCTGAAAACTACAATCTATACAGATTCAAACTTAGCTCTTGGCCGAAGATCTTAAAAGGTGTGAAGTCTTAGCTTTGTTCACCATTTTGGTAATTTACAGTAGAGCCAAAAGCAAGAATATAAACTATTCTGAAAAAGCAAGTTATTTGGAGCTTTAATGATAAAATTTTTTGCAAAGGAATAAAGTCCATCCATGTTGCTCTCACACTTGAGCAGTTTGAGGGTGGGGCTATACAGCTGATTTCCCTATTTTAATCTCACTTCACCATTCTGCTAACCATTAGGCTATTAAATGACTCACCTGATGAGGTACGGACAGAGAGCCTTAATGCAATTTAGCCTACAACTGTAAATTTACTTAATCTCATTTTAATCCTTGCAATATAAATAGATCATTCTAAGAAGTGCCTTCTGATCTCCCCACTTCCCAAACCTAAAATTATAGAAAGGAGCAGTCAATTTAGTTTTCATGGTTAAAAAAACAGACCATCTAAGCAAAATTTTACATGACATTATATATGTAAAATAAAGTACAATTTCCACTTAATTCAGTCTTCAAATATTTTTTATTGGAAGGCCATGCATTGCCTTCATTTATTGTATTTCAAATCACTGTACATTTACTTTTGTGAAAACACTGCCTGCATTTTCTAGTACAAAAAAAACCTAAAAATTGTTTCAGGAATGTAGAGAAATATCCAACTTAAATAGCGAAAAAGTGCACCATAATTACTGCTGCACTGCAGTCATTTCTGCATTTCTCATGTTTCTTAAATAACTATCTTGTCTGATAACACACAATATAAAGAGCAATTATGAAAAACAGACATTTACATATACTTCTAAAGTCTTATTGAGAATATCCTGTTGGCATTGGATAACCAATCATAGGCGCAGCTGCAGTAGCAGGATATGCATATGCCTGTTGGTTCATACCATTGTGCATATTTGGAACGTTACTTCCATATTGCTGAGTGCTATCGTAACCATTCTGGTAAGTCCCTGTTGGATTACCAGTCCTAAAACTGGTCTGTATACCAGCAGACACAAAATTACTTCCAAAGCTCCCATTGGTGTAATTTGCAGCACTGTAAACACCATTCTGAGTTTTTGCCCCAAAATCCCTCTTAAGCAGACTAGAGTAACCTCTGTCATAATTTTCCCTGTCTCTAAAAGTATTAAATCCACCCCTTTTGCCCGCAGAGTATCTGTCCCGACGGTCATCCTTCATGCCTCCTCTACCCCTGGAACGACCTGTCAAGAAAAAAAAATTGCAAGGTAATTATTTCCATGGCACAAATCATTACGAACACAGAAGGAATCAGGAAAGCTCTATTCACTCTACAGGTGAAATGTTTTCTCAGCTTCATATTGAAGATTTTACTCACCCGCCACTCCCATTTAAAGGATTCGTGCAAGCATGTGACCCCAAATCACCAACATTTCTTAATGAAGGTTGGTCTTACCTGAACCTCTGTCTTCGACCAACTGAAGCAACTTGGGATTAATTGCTTGATTAGCTTCACGAAGCACAGAGATAAGGTCGCTCACTTGCTTTATGTTATTAGGTGTAAAGAAAGTGTATGCTGTGCCTGTTTTGGTACTGCGAGCAGTTCTTCCAATTCGATGAATATAATCCTCTGAGGAGTTAGGGTAGTCATAATTGATGACAAATTTCACATCTTCCACATCTGTAAGGTGTTGCAGTGTGGCAAAATAGCAATGTATGGAGTTTTGCACACCACAACAGCCAGACCAAAAATAAAAAGTTAGACAATTGTATTCCCAAGAAGGTACGGGCTGCAAAAAATACAGTTAAAATGGTTATCCATTCTCTGTAGGAATACCATTGATGTTGGAAGGGGGGGGGGGGGGGAAAGCACATACCATCTACCTGTCTCATTACCCCACCCAATGATAAAGAGCCTGTCAAAAGGACGTGTGTTCTCTAACGTACTCCCAAACCAGCAAGTTCCCTTACAGATCATCAAGTGACATCTGAATGCTTCTGCGCAGTAGGGCCACTTAAAGGTTCACAGCAACCTCTTCATGTGCTCATTTTGAGGACCTTTAAACAAAAATGTACGCGGTCCTTTGCGTTACACACTCATCAGAAGTTCAAAATTCTGGCCACACTGCTTGTCTTGCCAAGACCTTACAACCGCAGCTGCAAGAAAAACATACCTGTCCCCCAAAAGTTGTTTTTATGCACTGTGTCTCGTCTAGGCAAGCGCTTCCAAGAAGCCAGGATTCACTTGAGAATGTGTCTCTCTCTGGCAGGTCTCGACATGACGACTACTGTGTAGGTGAGGGAGGAACTTTGAAAGCACTGCTTTCTTTTCCCACTAAGTGTGAGAAGTTGCTCCTGCTCTAGATCTCATGTGCCAGTACTCACCAATTTGTAAAAGGCTTAGTACCTTTTAAAGCTGCTCTCTCCATTTCAAACTTGAACAAAAATTTCATTGAACATTGAAGTTTGGAAATATTTCTTCAACATTTCAGCAAACTCACTGAAACTCAAAGACCCACAGATCACAGTAAACAGTTTGAAACAATGCTGTACCATGGCAGTCATGCAAAGCATGGGACAGAAGAAATACCACGGCAGTGAACTGTGAGGATAACTTCCATTTTTTTCCCCCGGAGAGAACAGTTTACGGGGCAGAGGTGGTATGTTCTGCCTTTTGAAGATTACTGGCACACTTTCAGCTTTTCACCTCTCTAATCGACTGGAAGCAGCCAGCCGATCACTAGTCCTCCATCCCCCTCGAGTCCTCCGATTGTCATGCCTAGGCCTTGCCACAAAGACTGCACCTTTATATGAAAAAAACTTAGAAAAAATGCAGAGGTTAAAGAAAGCAATAAACTTTCTTTAAAAAAGTTATATGGAGATCTTCTGGGAAACCAAGCCATGAATTCGAGTTTTTACTAACCTAGCCCTCTGGAGGCCACATCTGTAGCAATCAGAATAGGAGCTTTTCCATGTTTGAATTCTGTGAAAGAGAAAGGATCATAAATAATCTGAGAAT